CATTAAGTAATTATTACAATTGATTTATAAAATAGCAAGAAATAATTTCTGTCATTATCAAAATGCAAGATACAATCTACAACCTACAAAGAATCTCGTCTGGAAAACCATTCTTATTTAAAAAAAAAAACTAAAGCTTAACACCATTTAATAGAGATGAGTTTGCAGTTGAGGTCAGGCAGTATGACAAGATTAAAGTTTTAAAGGCTATTAGCTTTATATTCATGACAGGAACCAAACTTTGAGAACAATCAATTGAATTTTCTTTTTATATCTTAAACAGCTGTTTTGTACCTGCATGTTGTACGTAGTTATTAAACTCTTATTAAGTGCTATCAAGACTTTTCTCGTTTAAAATCTCGCTTCCATCTTCATCATCGTTGTGAGTAGGGAAAGACACTGTCTGGCGAATGCAGGGGGTACTTAAAACAATAACTGTCATTTATTACATATCAAATATTATGCACTATCAAAATATAGTTGTTAGACCTGTAATTTACCTGTAGATGGGAGGATTAGCCCAAATGTACGTTTATATATACCATAAAATTTAGCCCAAATGTCGGCTGGCATACGCCCGAATGGAACATTGTTTTCAATCCAAACGTGCATCTCCCACGAAAATAACTAAAGGTTAATTACGTTATTACAATCGAGAACACCTCAAATTCCTAGAAAATTTAAGGTTTATGGAATTTTATAAATCTTTTTGTTGGCGTTTGATGAAAATGTATCTATTTTTATGTTTGATGAAATATATGCATCCAAATATGAAAATTAGTGTTTGCATTTCTATTTTCAATTTCTTATTATGGAAATATGAATCAGAAAAAAGTGGAAAACATATTTTTTTTTTACTTTGTTATAGTGATTAATGTAAGTGCAATTTACGTGACTAATAGTTTCTCCAAATTTTAAAATAGATTTAATGTAACAATATATTTCCAAATGATCATCCTATCAATGATGCAACTTTTTTTATAATAATTATGTGCATGCCGATTTGCATGTGTATTTTTTTACTTGAAATAATTATCAAGTTTGCACCTAATATATTCGTTCTTCTTCTTCCTGGTACGTTAGAACAGAAGGGCGTATATCAGATTTTATCAAATTCATTTTCAAAGAAGACATTAATAATAGTATTACACAATATTTACGCATTAATATCTCATTTTTGACGCTATCTTTTTAACAGGATATACTAGCTAGTACGGGTACCAATATCGCCCATATTTGCGTTCAGCCATCCGCTGATTCCCAGTTATCTGCAGATTGTGTATTTCTAATTTACTGAAATTTGACATACTATCAAAGACTAACATATAGAAACCGATAACCGATTCTCTTCATACAAAATGCTATTTAAGGGAATGAACATTTAAATTAAGGGGGGGGGGGGAGGGGAGGGGGTATGGTTTTTTCTAAAAAAAATATTCTGATCCCCAATTTGATGAAAAAAAATATTCTGGTCAAGCAGATGAAAAAAAAAAATATTCAGATTTTGCCTATACCTTAATGTGCTAAATATTGGAAAAAATAATTTGATTGATAGCATTGTTGAAAAACTAAATACAATTTTCTGACTCAGACAAAAAAACCATAACCCCTCCCTTTTTGAAGTTAAATGGTTGCTCCCTAAGTGGATTAATAACAGCTGACACAGATTTATGTCTCGTCTGTTAGTAATTATAATTATATGTTAGTATAATGCAAATGTTGAAATTAAAATGGTAAAATTTTAATTTAACATGTAAGCTATGCAAGACAGTCAATGTCACTTAACCATGACTTATGGTGCAAGGTAAAATAATCTCCGTATAAATACGAAATAATAATGTTAAAATAATTGCATTCCAAATACTATGCATGGACTTATCATTAGTGGTTCATATTGTATAGAGATGATCTTCGAATGGAGCAAGTTCGATATTTTTTTACTTATAACAGACTATCTTTTTAGTGCGTCCCTGGCTAAAGTTGAAATACTAATGACAATATTTCTCAATAGAGGTTACCCGATTTGTCACCGTACCAACCTTAGTACGAACTAGGAGCCGTCATTGAACTTGTGAAAATGATGTATACACCTACTGTCAACGTATGTTTTATGAATCATAATCAAAAGTATTTAGAGGATTTTTAGCTGCAGTTTGGTATTAATTTTACCTGGATATTTTTCGTATTTATAGCAAAACATATTGTTTGTACTCGATTATACATTCAAGCAACCGTTGCAATTCGTAACTCGCAACTCGATTTTCGTAACTCGCAACTCGACTTTCGTAAATCGCAACTCGACTTTCGTAACTCACAACTCGAACTTCGTCACTCGCAACTCGACTTTCTTAACTTGCAACTCGACTTTCTTAACTCGCAACTCGGCCTTTTCAACTCGCAACTTGCAACTCGACGATAAGAAACCCTCCATCTTTAAAGAGAAAAATCTTCTGTAATTATCGAAATATACTACTTAAATAATAATAACTTTAATATTTCAAATCATGCAAGAACTATATTTAGAAATCAACACAATTCTGACATATATAACCAACACCAGTAACACGTGTTTAAGAAAGTCGTTCATAGATAGTATCTTAATTATTCCAAATTCTGTTTCTACACAAGACAACATTCTTCTAATATTTTGTATATATAAACAAAAACATTACATTAAACAAGCAGAAACTCAAACCTATATTTAGAATATAAAGGCTGTCTCGACTCAGTTCGTAGAAGGTCTGTTTGAATCATGCACTTGTTTCACTAACTAAATATTCTTATATAGAATCACAAAGTGTTCTAGAAACGGTGAAATCGCTTTTAAATAAAATGTTAAGCTAGAGTTTGCTGATATGCAATTTGATTTCTTTAATTTTATCATGATGAATAATGTTAACTGATGCAATAAATGATACCTCCAAAACAACACTAATTGTTGAGTTACGTACCAACCGTACATGATACGTAGCAAATCGGGAAACCTCTATTACGAGGCTATTTAAGCAGTTTTGGCAGTTTTGCATTTCACAATAGAAGTTTGAAGCCCTACACCAAATATGCAAGACAATGCTAACATGGATCTTGTCTATATACCAGCTTTGATTATCTGGTATTACACAAATTTTCACTTCTTCGTACTATGAACATCAAAATTATTTCATTTTTCCTTAGATGCTGTTCTTGGACCTGTACAGGAAGTTTTATCTAGCACTAATTGTATAGTTTTATTGTTGATATTCACCCCATATGTACCAAGTGTTAGATTAGTTTTATTGATATTAAAGAAATTTCTTGGTATTCCTAAACGGAATATTTTATACACACAGAAGAAGAAGTATACTTAACAACAAAATTATTTTCATTTACCTGTGTATAATATGACGCAGGTTTCTTCAAAAGTGATGATTTTCTAAATATTAATTGACATTTCACAGTGATATCATACTTTAACTTTGTTTAAACCTGTTTATTTACTTTTGACTTTAATTATTTATCTCTTGTAATTTTTTATTAACTGTGTATTTGCATTCAGGTGTCACAGGTCAAATTTATTCGTTCATTGTGTGTTAATTTACGTTTTTTGATTGAGTTAAGCCTTCCAATTGATATTTTATAGTGTGTTTTTCTATGTTGTGATGTTATACTATTGTTTCAGAAAAGGGAGAAGGTTTGGTACCATTAAAACGTTTAATCCCGCTGCAAATGTTTGCACCTGTCCTAAGTCAGCAATCTGATTACAGTAGTTGTCGTCTGTTTATGTAGTTCATACGTGTTTCTCGTTTCTCGTTTTTATATAGATTAGACCGTTGGTTTTTCCGTTTGAATGGTTTTACACTAGTAATTTTTTTGTGGCCCTTTATAGCTTGCTGTTCGGTGTGAGCCAATGCCCCGTGTTGAAGGCCGTACCTTGACCTATAATGGTTTACTTTTATAAATTGTAACTTGGATGGAGAGTTGTCTCATTGGCACTCATACCACATCTTCCTATATCTAAGACAAGATTCAACAATATGAAAACTGATATCTTACGGACTAGTGCACTTGACTAGTGTCTGTGAACTTCTGAAGGATGTGGGTTTTTTCTCTCTCTCTAGTATATATATAATACTTTTTGATTCTCGATTTCAGTTAGGGACCAAAAGGTAGCCACTCCCTTTTGATTTGTTTTGTCTTATTTTCGAGTTCTGTTCGCCATTTCATATACAAAACATTTACGTCTGCAGCTAAGACTGCTCGTTGATATATCATTTTGAAAAAGAAGTTTCAAGCTAAAACCCATATCTTATATTTCATTTAAGAATATTTCGATAATTGGATATGTATGCACTCTTTAAAAATATCAACGTGTATCAGAAGCATCATTGGTTTTGTTTAAACTTGCAAATGTTATGTATCAATGTTCTCCTAAGATAAGATAATATAACAGAAGAACATTTTATTTTGATTCGGCATATATAAAAACTGTACAACACAAGCTCGAGAGAGCTTTTGAACGAATATAAGAGCATATAAAAGACTTGGTTTAATAAGTTTTAGCAAACTTGAAGTATGATAAAAATGTATCTACTAAAAGTTTGGATTAAGCACTCAGAAAATTTTAAATTATACATTTGTAGGTAAAAATCATGAAAAAATTTGATATAAAAAAACTAAGCAATTCATTTTAAAAATTAGCACTAAAAAATAGGAGTATGAGCCACTTTAAACTAAAAGAAATCTAATATTCTCCTGTATTATGTTACATTTAAAAATCTCTTATGACTGATTATTGAAATTTGTTTGATGTTATAGTTCACGTATACCCAAGTAGGGGTCATTCATAATATTTTAAACTAATTTAAAATATTGTGTACTTAAACATCATGAGAAAACACTAACAAAGTTCGACCAATCAGAATGTATCCAGGAAGTCGGACTCAAGTTTTTTTCATGGAACCTAAGACAAGAAATTGATATATAGTACGGCACACCTTTAAGAATCTAAAAATACAATCCGGACACAGTCTACTGTATAAAAGGTGTTTAATCTGTCAATCTGTCAAACCTTATTTATACTCATCACCTGAGAGATTTAAACTGATGTAACGGCTCTCCTGAAAGATTTACCAATAACACAGTATACCAAACATCAAATACATTACTGACAATGGTAAGTTGTTATCAAATTTTCTGTAACTTAAAATAATTAGCCCTGGGCAATGCATATGGTTTGAGGAAATGGCCTGAGTTTGATATGTTTTTATCTTAATTATTTCTCTTAGATAAATCAGATTAAAGCTTGTATTTTATTTTTAATTTTTATTTTCCAATTTAAATGCATATTTGTTTATTATAATGCATTCAATTTAAAGAGAAGACACTGACTTTCATCAGTGTATATAACAATTTTGAAGAAACTTAAATCAACTGAAACCCAATTTTTAGTGTCTGCTTATTTTTAACAAAGACATAATATTTAAAGGATATTCTCTAATGGAATACATATTGATTTGTTGTGTTTAACACTTTTTATTTATAACACAATATTTTCATCTTAAAATGAAAGGAAACAAATTATGAAGTATCAAAAAATGCATATCTTGTGAGGATGTGAACGTGAAAGTGACTTTATTTAGGGTCGCCTATCGGTTAATCGAAATGTAGATACAAAATTTCCCAAAAATAAACGCAAGGTACCTACCTTTTATACAATTGAACTTAAAAAAAATCAAAAAATTTCCGAAACAAGAACACCCTGAGCTGTTGAAAATAACAGTACACAAAAACTCAATAATATACATGAACACAATTAAACACGGACCTGTCATTTTTTTCTTCTACTTTTTAAGTTTTGTTAATTATATACTATCAATTTATAACAGTCTTAAAAAGCTCGTTATTTTTAAACAGAGAAGCGAACATCATTAACTACTAGAAGCTCATGCTCCTGTGTTTTAGCAAAAACTGCTCGTTAACGAATTTCCTTATTATTTATTAGATATGTTTAGGTTATTTGTCTGTTGATAATATTTTACGTTGGGTTGCTGTCTCATTGACGTTTGCCCAATGACCCATGTATTGTTAATGAAAGAAATGAATTCCTTTCTACATTTGATGTTACGGAAAGCTTATATAATAATGGATACTCTTTCTGTGAGCAGACCACGTGTTTCTGTAATAACTCCTCAGAATTATAAAGATTTATCATAATTCTCATTACGTATTGCATGGTTAGGATCAGAATTATAAAGATTTATCAGCTTATTGTTAACAAAATTGTGTCTAAATCGAGCAACCAACAGGAATTTCTTTAAACAATTTGTATGTAAAAGTGAAAGTTAAGACATAAATAATGTCTTTATTATACATTCTTAAAGACACAAATTTGTCCCCAGATGTCTCTCGACACTGGGGATTGTTTGCTATGACAAAAGTAAACCTTCAAATCAAGTTTGTGTGCAAACAAACAAACAAAAATCCCTGTCGGCAATTGAAAATTAAACTAAAAAGTGCATTTCGATAAACATAACCATGTCTTTTGAGGTAAGATGATACATTTACATTGTTTTTAAAAGCATTTAGTTTTCAAACAAATATCCACACTCTCTTTTCCTGGTATACAAAATAGAATTGCATAGAATTGTTCTTCATATTATGAAAAACAGATGCTTATGAGTGTTGCTCAACCTTTGACGAAGTGTAATTACTTTTACTAAAATAAGCGTTTTTCAAAGTCCGGATCAAAACTTCATTCTATCGTTTAATTGAGTCATACCTTATACATGTAATACTTTAATAACCATAAATTCTTCCGTATGAAATACTCATCAAAGATACCAGGTTTATAATTCTGTACGCCAGACGTAAGTGTCCTTTACAAATGACTCGTCAGTGACGCTCGATTAAAAAAAATATAACAGCCTTTTTTAACCATATTTAAGTTAACTTGAACTCATCTCAAAATTTATACAAATCAAAAATAAGAAAGCGACAAGATGAAGATAATATTTCCTTAGAATCAAGTAGTTAAGAAATTGTTCACCTATATTTAATGTTGCATTCTTTTTTTATTGACAGAGTAAAGAATCGTGTACCGTAGGAATAGGAAAATTGAGGCATGTTTCTTTGTCTTTCTTGCAAGATGTTCTGCTAAACTTGTACAATGTCAAGGTTAAAGTCGAGAGTTTGGATAAACCATTCAAATCCAACAAAGAACTACCGACCAGACGCGCCATAGATATGAAATCGGCCAGCGATGTCGTCTGCCTCAGACTTGAAAGAATTTTTACCGATAAAGAGGAAAGAAAAGAATGCTTTGAAGGCATTTGCTCCAAAATCATCGAAAGTAAAAGAGTCAAGGATATTATTGATCAACTAGAGATGGTGGCAGAGTTAGCTTCAGATACCGTGAAGGAATGGCAAGTTGAAAATGAACTTTTCGTAGGAATAATTCCTAACTATTCTGGTGATGCCATCTTGTTTGAGGCAACTATTGATGATGAAACAAACAAGCTACACCTCCACTGGGACAACGAAAAATTATTATCAGACTTCCTGCCAGCCGTTTGTGGTCTATCCCAAGCACTCCGTAACGAGTCAAGGCAACCGTCATTATTTGAGTATCTGGCCTTTCAGATTGCTTATTATAACATTGCACATGGTCACCAGGGAAGGCACACAACAGCTAGATGTCTTGGAACTCCAGGCTTCCGACCATACACCCAAACGTATATGTCTTTGACAGACCCAGGCGATGGCCACGTGCTTGGTACTACACGTTTCAATGACTGGATGAAAGGTGCTATTGTACACGTTGAACATTTGGAACGACCACGTCATTTACCAAGAGAAAAAATCGAATCATATCGCATCCCGTCTATAATTGACTTTGCCAGAGTTCGCCTTCATGTAGGACCAAACGCACCCACAACATATTTTGTTGGAAGATGTGTAAAAGATTCTGGTGATTTCAAAGAAGACTTTCTGAAAATAGTGAATATAACAGCAGCCTCTGCAACTGCTGCTTTTAACCAGGGTGCAGCCGAGTGCAAGGTGTCAATGGAGGGTCTTTCGACGTCACAAGCAGTCAGATATATGTTGGCACTCCGTGGTCAAGTCATAAAAAAGAAAAGGCAAAGCTTGTCTGCAGCCTGGAATCTCAATCAAGTAATTTTAGACGACTACGAACGAGAAAATCCAGCTCAATTAAATCAAAGAATGGAAATCGGGACAAGAGCCATAGAAATTACTGTCATCGGTGGATTTGATAAGATCACGTGGGATGGAGCAAGCGATACCTACCCTTCTAAATGTATTATGTATCAGCTGACATTTGAAGAGGCCCTAACAATAGTACACGAAGCTCATCTTCGTGGACTAGTCACATATTTCTCAGCAGGATTTAAATTCAACGAGATTAAGCATGCTGTTTATGCTGGTGTAGATGGTATTGGAATTGGTGGAGCACAGGTATTGAGATTCATGGATAGCGAAACCGGAATGCATGGTCCGTATATGGAAGAAAATATCCCAAGAATAATGGAAAGCCGAGATGCAGCAGCAAACTCCTTCAGAGGAAAAGGAGTTAAACTTTTAGCTAGACTTGATACTATGTTTTACGAAGGGTCAATCTCAGAGGAGCAAAATTCTTCCAGACAAGAACTATTTTCAGCACTTCTAAATATTAACCAGGGGAAAATTGATGAGCTCATCAATCGTCTTGATGACGTCACAAAAATGAAAAATGAGGGAGATGAACCGTTGATCGGGAGGGCAATGCGCCTGTATGAAGCTGGAAATCCTTTGCTGAAGAAATACTTTGAATCTGAAAGCGAATGGCTGCATTTTTTAAGCATTTTGAAAAGTTATGTCGCCGCAAAGGATGTTGATTCTATCAGTGAAGAATATGACAGTGACCCGTGGTTGAATGCTCGTAAACATTACCGATTATGGCAATGGAATGCTACAAAGTGCATTTGCCGTCAGACCTCATTTGAGGTGCATTGTAAATCATTCCAATAGACATCATTATATAGATTTCTTCTTTCGAGGAAGTGAATTAAAAAAAAAACGTTTTATAGCTGGTTTAAGTTTTTTTCAAAAGTAATAAGTTATCTATTGCTTTTAACAATGGTCTTTTTATTACTGTTCATCGTGTTTATGTTTTTTTATTTCTCATCCACATATTTATACTAACTCGAAGTTTGTGTCGCTTCTTGTTAAGTTTAACATTTTGTCGTGGTGTGATGCATAAATGTTCTGTTATCCATTGTTTTTACCAAGAGTCTTTCAACTTTACATAAATACGTCTTGTACATAATTTGTAAACTTATTTTTTACCCAAGTCTTTCATCATATTTTTGTTTGTTTTATCATCTTTATGTCATTAAACACACCTTTGTTTATTATAATTTTTATTTCATTTAAGGCACCGACCATTAATCTTTTGTGTATGAACTGTGTATTTTATATGTATGGTTTTATATGGATATCTCTTTTTTTTTTAATAATCTAGTATATGATGAATGAATTTTATAGAAATATATATGAAGCAGCATTTCTTATTCTTTTTTATCCCTGTTCCAAATATGATAAACGTAATGGCAATTTGAGAAAAGGCATAAAAAAAGAGAGAAAAAAAAAGAACAACAAACAAACTTCGATTTTTTTTTGTCAATGTTTTATTGTTTATTTGTGTTATTTAGTAAAAATTATATTGTTTAGATTTTATAGTAATAAAATATCATATTTCATTTTTCTGTAATATGTGTAGAATTAAATTTATACATGTTCTTGAAAACTTGTTATTCTGGAATTATCACTTCTTTTTCAAGATTTCATTTTACTCGCTTTATTTTTGCATCCGAGAGTCCGCTGTCCTCCTCGATGTTTTGAAATATTAAAAGATCGGTGAAAATTTGATTGACATCCCCTTTTTCTAAAATCTCCGTAGCCTCCATAAAAAGTTCCTACAACAAAAGAGGTCAGCTGAGCTGCCATATTAATTATTTAGAGAAGTTCAACTTACACATGGTATATGTTTTCTCAAAAGTGAGAAAATTATTAATGCAGTACAGGTAAAATCCTTGTCGATTATAAACAAGTCAAATAGAGTTTGTATGTACGGTCTACCGTCATGTTTTTCACGTTGAATTGAAACTGTCGTTCGGTTGAAGGTACTTGGACTTTGTAATAAGTGAACGATATGGAGAAATAAAACAAATAATGTTGCAATTTTCATCAACAAAATAAAGAAAAACTTATCTCCCTTAGAACAGTAACTTAGACAAACTAGACATTATCCAAAATGCATCTACAAAGGCATATAACGTGTATAATGTTTAACAAAAGTAATATAAATGTATACTTTAAAATTGGAAAAGATCATACATCCAGCTGTGTACGTGGTAGATAAAGATATACATGTCACGCAGTGACTAACACCGTGGACAAGCTGCATGATAATATATAAATATTATTTATCATAATACTAAGCATTAATATGATAGTTCTGCAAATATGTAACGAGCGGAAGTAAACTAACCATAAATTCACACCCAGACCAACCCATATCAGCTCTATGTGACGTCACGTGGTCGGGCTGATATGGGGTTATCAGCCTGGGTTCGTTCGTACATCGGTAGTATGAATTTTGATAAAAAGATTAATATATGTCCTTTTCCATATTAACACGGGTATCATCCCTCGATCCATATCAGCACTCGACTAACGTCTCGGGATGATACCCGGGCCGATAGGGAAAAGGCCGTGTATTAATCTGTATAAGATAAGATAAGATAAGATAAGAATTTTATTAATCTAATCAAGAACCCATAAAGGGCATCATTTACAACAATATTAAGCACAATATGATTGGAAAAAAGAAAAACTATATCCTAATATAATACTATCATATATTGGACAGGATCAGAGCCTAACACATCATGTGTCTTACATAACATTAACAATAATTGCATAATAATTTTATATATTTTGTATCCACCTGGATCTTATTTCTAAACACTTAATTATATAATTGCCTAGGCACATAAGAGTTGGTAAATGCTCATTTGTGAACAGCCAGAAATATTTTTTATCCTTGGGTAATTCTTTAAAATTATTACAAAAACTGTTTACTTTATCCCATAATAATTTTCTCTGTTCGTTATATAAAGGACAACTTACTGTGAAATGGGTCTCATCTTCAATAGAATTTGATCCATGTGATAGGCAGTGATGACATAGACGCTGACTTCTCTCTATGTATTTTTTACTATACCTATCTTTCTCAATTTTAAGATCATGTGCACTTATTCTCAATTTACATATAGCTCTTCTTATATTAAAATCTTTAATTGATAAATAAGCCTCCTTTACGAAGTCAGTCTTGAGGTTGAAATAATTTTCTAATTTACTATTACCTTGTGATAAGGTATCAGATCTTTTGACCCCCCAAAATGTTTTAAAACTGTTACAAAGTTTACATTTTACAAATTTAATTAATCTATTGAGCTTTGTATTCAAATTTTGTATATCAAGTGATTGAAGGACATATCTCATAGATGAATACCAACAATTAATGTTTCCTGCATCTAAAATTTTATTACAAACATAAGCATCATAAAGTAACAGTAATGTATATAAACAATACATATCAAAATCATTAAATTTAGATGTATGATAATTGTCAGAAGCATGTTACCTTTTATTTAATCCAGGATCTTCGGTTGCATATAGTCAGAGGTCAAAAGTGTTTCACGTAATGTAAATTCACCTATTATTTCATACAAAAACACATTTTTTGTAAAAACATTGTCAAAAACTAATTTGCGGTGTAATTTTTAATGGTTATTATAAATATGAAGTATTTTTATGACATGTCATAACTGAGAAATCATTATTTGTATACAAAATTGAAATCAAGTGTCATAAACGATGATTTGCCTGGAAATAGAAATCATAAATATATTTCATAATTATTACAAAAAACTGCAGATGATTGAGGTTGTATTTCAACAAGGATTTGTATAGTAAGATCTTAATAGACAAATCCTTGATTTTTTTAAATAATGAAGAAAAAAAATCATTCAATTTGGACAATAAATATCTCCAGTTGAATTTTTATAAAAAAAAAATGAAATAATAGGACGTTAATTTCTGTTAAGAGAATAATATTTTCCCGCGTTTCGATCAGTATAGCGGGAAAATGTTGTATTCTCGGTATGGAATCGTTAACTTTCGGTAGGCCGATGTAAATCTATCCAATCAGGGGGCTGAGTTGTGGTCATATATAAGGTGTTTTTTGTGTGGTAGCTTCACTATCTAGCCGTCGTATTGACCGAGTAAACTCCATTATTTTAAATGATGTTTATCTATCTATTGTTAGACTTGTTTGGTTTTTTCGTAAACTGTTTGAACCGACGAGGTCCGACGTCTTTATCCTGAGATAGGCTCGAGCAGAGACATATAATATGTCTCTGGCTCGAGCGTTGATTCGGATACAGGTTTCCGTAATACGTTTTTTCCTAGTCGGCCTTGGCTATCAATGAGGGGTAATTTATTAAACGTACAGCTTCTAATATTTTGCTGTGTTTTGTACATAATGATATGATTGTGAATGTAAATGCCAATTGATTACTGATTTAAATGTTTTATTTGATATGTCACGATTATATGCCAGCTTTATAGCTGGCACTTATGGTAGAAGCATCGAATTGGAATAAAGAACGATCAGGATGAGATTATTTGCCAAAAAAAAAAGGCAGGATGATAATTTATGTAAAAAAAAAGTCAGGATAAACTAAAAAAAAAAGGCAGGACTGAATAGAGTGAAAAATAAAAAGGCAGGACCGAATAGAGGGAAAAATAAAAAGGCAGGACCGAATAGAGGGAAAAATATTAAGGCAAGACAAATTTTTTCATCCTAGTCCCCCCCCCCCCCCCCATAAAAATCAAATGGTAGCTCCCTTAACAAAAGTTTTAAACAAAAAAAATATATTCAAATATACTATCTGTAGACTGTACTTTGACAAACTCTCAACATGCAAATCTTGTCATTAATTATACACATATCTACCTTACACAGTCCCAGGAGATGGAGACTGGTTTTTTTTTCACTCTCTAAGTTTAATCATAAAACAGCTGTAAAAGGAGAATCAAAGGAGACTTGAGTCTGAGTGATACATTTATAGGTACATATATATTGTATGCACCCATATTGTCCAAAATAGGATTTTATGGGAAGATGGAGTAATGATAAACCATGATAATACCATGACTTTTGATAGGTATAGAGCATGTTACTTGGAAGTATGTGGGCTACATCCTTTGAAATTCAAGCTACCGACACATTATTTGGATGCAATATAAATAATTGCCTCCTGCAGTCGCCTGTATATTTTATGCGTCAGTTTAAACCTGATCAAAACATTTTCCCTCTACTGAATACTTTTATCAGGTGCACATTCCAACCTATTAAAGCAATAAACACTTATGGCTATAACGTCACAGAACACCTTGTCCAACTGTAAGGCCCCGAGTCCTGAATCTTTCAAGGCTCAGCTCCGTCAGTAAATTAAACTACATGTTTTTATTTGCACCTGTATATAAATTTCACCCAGTTTTTGTTTTTGTTATTAAATTTAAAATTGTTTTCATGCGCGCACTCCAAAAATGTGGCAGGATAGTCAACCAGTTGACGATGGCCGCTTACTGGAAGAAGAAGAAGAAGAAGTTCCCAAATTGCACTGAGTACCCAATTTGCACCTATTCAACAAAAATAACTGCGGAAATCTTACAAGTTTTCTTTGAGACTAAACAATTTGTATCGTTATATTTGCCACTGGACGTTAAGCAACCAACAATCAATCATCAATATTGTTATGATATGACATTATACATGTCTTTCAACATCGGTTAATATATTTAAATATACACAAATCGTTCACAATGAGAATATATCAACAGATGAAGCATTCCCGGGAAAAAGTAAATCTACGAAAATGTCAGTGTTGTCACCATGCGAAGTTATCTAATTATCATCTTTTAAAAATGTAAGCAACTTCACAACTACAAATTAATTTTCATGACCAAAATAAAATAAAGTACAAACAAAAAAGCAATAAAATGCTTTGCCAAGCACAGCCTAATACAACCGCAGATGTAGATTTAGCATATAAAAAACACCAAAAATTTTATGTCAGTTGAAATCAAACATATTTTAATTTTGGACCTTCAAACTTTAATATGGACTAATTTGAAAACAGGTATCAGGTGAGACCGAACATTTCTATTCAGCAGCAGTCTCCAACTACATATCTCCTTAATTTTATATGATAGTCCCACAAAAATGTTGAAAAATTATGTGTACATTTAATTTTTTTTCTAGATTCTCTCATGTCATACATGTGAAAGCAGTACCTCTTTGGTCACCATTTATGTGTTGCGTCTAAATATGAATTGTAACACTTTATAGTGACTGACCAGGTCATACAAATACTTCTCAAGAAACATGCAGAGAAAGAAGATAACTTGAAACAGCACCAGCCATGCCAGACTATGTATGAATAAAAACTCAGATCGGAATAGCATGGACGATATGTTAGTTATATGTCCTTGTGAATAGTAAGGAAAGCTATCAATAATTCTGCAGATAATGCAATTTTATCAGGTTTATCGTACATTTTCTGTTCAAATTTTCACACAATCAGTGAATCGTTCAAAAAGGCTAAACTAACTTTTTATTACTGAAAGTTTCAAACAATGACAAGTGTTTCATTCATGAAATAACTCGTGCGTTTCTGCGAAAAAAATCATGTGCAATTTTGTGAATTAAAGGGAAAGAAGATCCTTTTGCGGTGACACTCGCGCATGTCAATTGCGAACTAACCCAATATATATATTTTCTTTATCATGAATTATATGAACATCCAGCTAATTTAGAAAGTAAAAATAATTCAACAAACAGAAAGCGTTGTTTGCAATACTAAATAAAAAAACCAGCTACAACTTTTTTTAGATATTGATGAAAAAGATATTCCAAATCCTCCACCTTTTCATGAAAATCAACAAATTCATAGTTTTGAAATTAAACAAATGTCTTATTGTTTTAAATTTTGTAAAATTTGCAAAGAAAGAAAAATGGATTTGAAAATGGCACAAGATAATGAATTTAAGCATTGTCATTTAGATAAATCACCAATTAATTTATTTTCAGCAGAAAACAATATGGACAATAAGGGTGCAACCATTTAGCTTCAAAAGGGCAGGAGGGTATGGTTTTTTGTTTAAGTTAGATTTTTTTTCATGCAAAGGGCTTCAACGCTATCAATCAAAATTATTTGGTCAAAGGTTAACACTAGAAGGTATGGGGATAATCTGGATTCAGAATATTTTTTTGTCCTCTGCTTGATTAGAATATTTTTTTTTCATCAATTTGGGAATCAGAATATTTTTGAAGAAAAAAAAAACATACTCCATCCTGCCTTTTGAAGTTCAATGATCGTTTCTTTAACATTTTCCATCTGAACTTATTATTTTATTTTATACAACAAGAGTGCACACGCTGAAATGTCTCGCCTTCTTTACTAATCATTGATATTATGTTGATAGTCCTAAATATAAAGCTTTATTACAACTGTCACATAAGTTTAACATTAACCAAGTAAACTAAACATTGACCAATGAACCGTGAAAATGAGGTCAAGGTCAGATGAACCATGCTAGGCAGGCATGTACAGCTAACAATTCTTCCATACAACAAATATAGTTGACCTATTGCTTATATTTTAAGAAAAACAGACCAAAACACAAAAACTTAACACTGAGCAATGAACCTTGAAAATGAGGTCAAGGTCAAATAAAACCAGCGTGACTGACAAATAGATCATAAAATATTTCCATACACCAAATATAGTTGAACTATTGCATATAGTATTAAAAAAAAAGACCAAAACTCAAAAACTTAACTTTGACCACTGAACCATGAAAATGAGGTCAAGGTCAGATGACACCTGCCCGCTAGACATGTACACCTTACAATCATTCCATACACCAAATATAGTAGACCTATTGCATACAGTATAAGAAAAACAGACCAAAACACAAAAACTTAACTATAACCACTGAACAATGAAAATGAGGTCAAGGTCAGATGACACCTGCCAGTTGGACATGTTCACCTTACAGTCCTTCCATACACCGAATATACTAGACCTATTGCTTATAGTATCTGAGATATGGACTTGACCACCAAAACTTAACCTTGTTGACTGATCCATGAAATGAGATCGAGGTCAAGTGAAAACTGTCTGACGGGCATGAGGACCTTGCAAGGTACGCACATACCAAATATAGTTATCCTATTACTTATGATAAGAGAGAATTTAACATTACGAAAAATCTTAACTTTTTTTTCAAGTAGTCACTGAACCATGAAAATGAGGTCAAGGACATTGGACATGTGACTGACGGAAACTTCGTAACATGAGGCATCCATATACAAAGCATGAAGCATCCAGACCTTCCACCTTCTAAAATATAAAGCTTTTAAGAAGTAAGCTAACGCCGCCGCCGCCGCCGGATCACTATCCCTATGTCGAGCTTTCTGCGACAAAAGTCGCAGGCTCGACAAAAACTATATGTAGGACATTCGTCCTGAACATGCATGAAATATTTGCCATTGGACGTTAAGCAAACCAACAATCAATCAATATGTAGGACATAGTCTTGGTAAGCTGGCATTCAAGGTAGCGCCTTCCTCATATTATATTATATTATATTATATTCAATTATATCTGGCGTCCATCACGTACGACGGGCTGTCGGCAAATTTGAATTTGCGTTTGAGTTATTTAACCTAAGACTGAAGCTGATACCAAACCCGAATCGGGTGCGGATTTGATTAACTACTTTTATCTCCTGTCAAGAAAAGGGACAGAACTCCACTCCTACAGAGGTGAATTTTGTCTCGACAAAATAAACACCTGTCCTAGCTATCAACCCATTGGAAAGGATTCAGATAGCAATCGTGTACTGCAAGTCTGAGATTTAACAACAACGTGTTTAATAATTTAATGAACAAATTATATGGTAACTGCAAAACAAAAATTAGATTACTTATAGTTATGTCAAAGTATGGATGATGTTGTCCTATCTGCCTATGGCTGATACATTTTTTCGGAAGCAAGTTAACTCGTACCATTGTAAACTCGTACCACGTAAACTCGTACCAAAAAAGTTAACTCGTACCAACGTAAACTCGTACCACTGGGAAGTCGTACCAATCAGAACTCATACCACTGCAAACTCGTACCATTAAAATAAAAATATATATTCAAAAATACGAATGTTTTATGATTTTTTTTTTTTGGTAAACTAAATAAAAAAAGTTGAATTACTTGAATTTTATACTAGATTTTAATGAAAACTTAGACAAAAATACGAATGTTTTATGATTATTTTTTTTTAAGCTTTATACAAATAATTAAAATATCTTTGAAATTTATACCAGATTTTAATGAAAACTTAGACAAAAATACGAATGTAATTTCTTAATTACCATGCTAATAAATATATTAAATTCCTTTGATTGTGTGATTATTGGTTGATTATTAACTAATCACCTTGTTTTTTTTTTATCTTTAACTAATCAACTTGTATAATCATATAAGCATGGTCATATTCTGCTGAAATGTGCTGAATATTGTATATAAATAAATTTCATACTTTCTAACTGTTGGCAGAGACATATAATACATGTATTATATGTCTCTGCTGTTGGTCATAAACAATTTTAAACCTTTAAAACACAATCAATAAATTCTTTCATTAAATAAAATTCCTTTTAGAAACAATAGAAAAATACCCAAATCTATTCAATGTTACTGATTTGGAATGATTAAAAATTAAATCAAATAGTTGTCAGTAAAAAGTTTAAAAAAGAGTCTTTTCAAGGGAGACAACAAAGCCAATCTGCCACGGTTTTAACTATCCAATTAGACAAGGAAAATTAGCTACAAATTGGTTATTGTAATTTCAAATTATATACATTTTACAGACTTGAGAGGTATTGAGTGAAATTAAAGTATATATTCATCATTAAACACCATTTGAATGCATTTAAATAAGTTGGTACGAGTTTACAATGGTATGAATTTACCGTGGTACGAGTTAGCAGTGGTACGAGTTTGCATTGGTACGAGTTTTTGTTTAGTGGTACGAGTTGACATTGGTACGAGTTTACAATGGTACGAGATAACTATAATTCCATTTTTTCAATGTACAGTCAGGGGACTTATTGAAATATTTTAAATTTTAAATCACTTATTTAAGTAGCAAATTTGAAGTTTTGTCACAAATTGTGATTTTGTAGTTCTACCAAAATTTTAAACACATAGGTTTAGATAATATCTTTTCATTAGTAAAATTGAAAAAAATGAACTTTTTGCTTCTTTTTATGCAGCAAGGTTTATGCCTTTGACAATTGGCTTTGATGCAATAATTTAGCTGCAAATTCTATTTTAGTTGAAAAAATGCTATAAAAATGGCTTTACATAATGAACTGATACTTTCTTAACAGATTTTTCCCAGCAGTGGGAGTATTTTTCCTGTAAAATTCAAGGTTTCATCTTATAGATTATGTAATAAAATTCTACTGTTCGCGATCAAAATTTCACTGTTCGGGGGTGTTGAAATTAGTGGGGGTTATTAAAATAATGATACTTAAAGAAGTGATTTTTTGGAAGGAAATTGAGGTATGATACTTAAACAAGTGATTTTTATGTCATTATCCTAGATTTAGTACAAGGTCATCACCTGACATGACCTGGTCATCCTATCAACACAGATGTTGGTTCTGATAATTTTAGCAACATAATTAGTCCCTGGATCATTAGTATTCTATATTTAAAGCTACAATAAAATTAAATCACTTAGTCTAGTGATTAATTTGTACTACTTAAATAGGTGATTATTAAAGAAAGACAACTCTTAAGCTTACTTCCAACCTTTATGAACATAATGTTACTTGAATCAGTGATTTAGAAAATCACTCATTTAAGTAAGTCCCTTGACTGATGACCATATTCTTTGTTTGTGGCACCTCAAATTACCCAAATACAAAATGTACCTCTAGAACATGACCAAAAGTCCAATCACTAATGTCAGCAGAACAAACCATAGTCCTATAATATAAGACTTCGTAGGTCCATATCGTTTGCATTCAGCGTTTTTTATCGGATATTTTTTTTACTTTCAAATTATGCTGATAGTAAAAAAGATATCCGATTAAAAATGTTGAATGCACATCAGATGTGGTTCAGCATTAAAAAAAATATCTGATAAAAAACGACTTAACGTTGAATGCAAAAGATATTGACCTAAGAAGTCTTACATAATTTATATAGGACTAGACCTCCCCGGTAGTCTCATGGTAGCGTGTTCGCCTTGAGTGCAGCAGGTAGAGGGTTTGAACCCTGCCCAGGTCAAACCAAAGACTTTAAAATTGGTAGTTGCTGCTTTTCTGCTAAGCACACATTATTAAGGAGTAAGAGCAAAGCCTGGTGGGCTCAGAGTCAGAATAATGTGTTTGGGTAGGATTACATGTCTTCTGTCACCTTGTGAACTAGCACATTATACTTAAATACTAAACTCACTAGTTTGCAAAATGATGAGTCCAGACAGATTTTCAGTCCAGGACTCATAGGCTCATCTTAGTGAGAACCCTGCAAATGATAGATACATTTGTACCACATAAGTTACAACATTCTTACCATGTAAAACAACAACATGAACAATACTGTATGTTAAATCAAACCTGTCTTAGACTTTTTATTAAGGATTTGTGGTGCAGTTGTAAAAAAGTTATGTAAATAGTAAATTGCACTGTGTGCTAGATTAATGCTTAATACAATGAAAATTATAATATTTGAAAAATTATATAAGGTATGCGTATGCCTGGTATGGTATGGACAAAAAAAAAAATTGAGTATTGCAGATGTAACTTTGCATTTAATTTTACCACAATTCTTTAGAAAAGAAAAAAAAATCAGTATATAAAATAGCTACAAACTAGTTTTACCCCGCCACATTCTGTATGTGCCTGTCCCAAGTCAGGAGCCTGTAATTCAGTGGTTGTTGTTTGTTGCTGTATGTCATATTTGTTTTTCGTTCATTGTTTTGTAAATAAATCTGGCTGTTAGTTTTCTCATTTGAATTGTTTTACGTTTGTCATTTCAGGGTCTTTTATTGCTGACTATGGGGTATGGGTTTTCGCTCATTGTTGAAGGTCATACGGTGACCTATAGTTGTAAACTTCTATGTCATTTGGTCTATGGTGGAGAGTTGTCTCCTTGGCAATCATACCATATCTTGATTTATATGTAAACATGCTAACTAAATGTGGATTCAATGATAGTGGGTCCCTTAATTTGCAAAACAATTTTATTTAAATTGCAATTTCATATTTTAATCAAATAGTTTTTTCTGTTTTCATCATTAAAAAAAGAAGAAACTGCCAAATACAGATTCTCCCTAATATGCTTTACGATATCCTTGTTGGACATTACATTGGGCTAATAGATCAAGAGACTAGAATGCAAGATCTTTGCCTCCTAAAATTAACCTGAAAAGGTTGTTTATGGGGGTATTTTGTAAGTTGAAACACAGGTATACTATTGTTTCTCCTCTTAGGATTTCTTTTTATCCATCTTGAAAACAATTAAATGACACTGAAGATGAATAGTTATAGAATGGCATACAGGAATTTCAATTCTATTTCATTGTACTACATGTACAGGTGTAAAGTTTTTATTCTATCGTCAAAAAATGGAGAATTTTTCATATTTGAGACATATTCTTGTAATATTTAAATTTTAGAAGGTGAACTGAATGTATTCATATTATTTATGATTTAATATAGTGGACATGGTGGAAAGAGGATTTTTAAAGGATTGTGTAGTGTTTTTCAGGTTTTATTTCAATTTATAATTTCATCTTTTCTGGAAAAACGCATTGAAAATGTACCTTTTCAACATATTAAACAAATAAACTAATTTGATTAAAATGGGGTTTATTCTTCATTGACAAAAATCACTTCCTGTATTCCAATGTACAATATGTTGATAAAAGAAATTTGATGGACGGAGGAATAAACACATAAAATATGAACATTTTGAAATTTTACTGATTGTTTCAAACCAATCACTGATAGTAAGTCATGTGTTAGTATAACCTAAACTTTTGAATAATTGCAAATGATTTATCCAGATTTAATATTTTGTCTTTTCTTTTGAAAAATGGATCTTGTTAATCCTTAATCTTTTATATACAGTCCGCCAAAAGTTAAGCACCACCTAAATATAACTGTCAATATATTTTGAACTATTGCGAAAAAAATATTTATGTTTGTTGTTATGAATTGCCTATAGCATACCCTAAGAAAATTCATTACAACCAAAAAAATTAACTCCGATATACCCGCCAAGCAACCTTTTATTAAAGGTCATCTGCACTTTTACAAATACACTGTTTCGATGCCTTTAAATCACCTTCCTACTGTCCCGCGTACAGGTGAAATTTGACCTTCACCAAGTCACTGTGAAATATGGCAGGCGGTAAGTTATCTGTGACTGAACGTTGACAAGCAACTGACATGTTAAATGCCAGTAGGAGCACTAGGAGCATTGGTAACCATTTCAATGTTAATCGCACCGTCATTGTCAGATTTTTACAACGTCATATAGACACAGGAACTGTAAATGATAGACCAAGGTCCGGAAGACCCCGTTAAACTACCTATCGTGATGACAGACTACTAATTGGTCGTGCTAAAGCCAACCCATTTACTCCTTCCCCATAGCTTAGACACCACTGGCCTCCAGGTGGTCGTGTAAGTGTTCGAACATTGGTCCGTCGACTTCATAGAGGCTACCTAAGAGCACGTTGTGTTGTCAAAAGACGTGCCCTAACAGCCAGGCACCGTATAATCAGGTTTCAAAGGGCTAATGACCATCGACAATGGAACATGAGATCCTGGCAAAATATTCATTGGTCAGATGAGAGTTGGTTTCTGTTACGACCAATAGATGGCAAAATACGAGTTTGGCGGGGAAATAAAACTGCCTATCACCAAAACAACAATTGCCCAACGATAGCAATCTTTTATGGTGGTGTTACAGTATGGAGTTTCTTCTCATACTGTTGTAAGCTGGTATGCATATTTTGCAGGGTAACATGAACAGACAGACCTACAGGGATTTGGTGCTTAGAAACATTGTAGTCCCTCATTTTGAGAATCCCCAACTTGAGCCAAGACCCTCGTACATGGACGACAACGCTAGACCACACAGGGCAAGGATTGTAACCGATTACAAAGATCAAGAAGCCATTGACACTATCTTTTGGCCTTTCATGTCTCAAGACCGGAACCCTATCGAACATGTCTGGGATGCCATTGGCAGAAATCTCAATCGCAGAGATCCACCATTGCAAAATCTTGGCGATTTAAGAGGGGCAATTGTTGATGAATGGAATAAATTTGCTCAACTAAAGTTCAGAAGGCTTGTACAGAGTATGAGACGCCGTGTTATGAAACTGGACCGGAAGAGAGGTGGTAACACATCCTATTGACTTAAATATTGACATTAAATTTGCCGAACATTCCAAAGATTATTTGTAGAGACTTTTAATGATTTTGGGTGATTAATTGTTGTAAAAAAATAAAATCAAAGTAAAACTTAAATTCCGTTTCTGATGTGTGTAATTTTCACTATTTCTATGAACGCAAAATTCAAATGCATAGAACCTGCATCAGTGACCAAACTTAAGTTTATGGTTTGTTTATGGCATATATGTTAGCAAAATTGCTACATAAATATTTTCTCTTTTTCGAGGATTAACTGGTTTTTTTAAATGAAAAAAATTTCGATGCAACAAAGATAGGTGGTGCTTAACTTTTGGCGGACTGTATATATCTTTCAGAATCATTTTATGTAGTAAGTGTAGATCAAAAGTAATACTTATAATAGATAGGTAAAAAATGTAATAAAAAAGGATCATCAATAAAAGATCTGCAAAAAATGACACTTAATAAGATCTACAATAAGTGGACATGGCCCGAGAACACAGTTATTTCGTAGTGCATTTCTTTTAGACAATAAATTCAAATTAAAAAAATCGCACCTGCTCTATCTTAAAAAGATTTTTACAGTGTAGTGTACTACTATTGATACGAATAATATCAAAATTATAGAAACTTCTACCAGCTCTAACTCAAAATATTGACAATTCTGTGTTAAGGGGGCTAAAATTCAGTTTGACAGCTTCAGACATTCTAATTTTTGACCTTTTTTAACTGGGCCAAATCACTACTTCACATAAAGATTCAGCACCCAAATTTTTTTAACATGTAATTTCATCCCCTTACTTAATATTTCATGCATAAAATATCAAGAAATAAATTGGGAAAGTGTATCAAATAAAAATGCAAGTTATACACTGTTCACACTAGGGACTATATTCGTAGACAACGAAAACCAAAGGACGATAACTGTGTCCTTGGTCCTAATAGGATAGAAAGACTTGACCAATTTTAATAAAACTTTGCATGACCTAAGCTTAGGCCATTATAAGATAGTTGGCCAAGTTTCATGGCCATAGGATATATATTATAGAAACTAGGGCCATTTTAATATTGAAATTTGGATGTTTATTTTTGACGTTTAAATCAAATATTTTTCAACTGTCAAGATTTTGGCCTAAAAAATTTAAATATTGCAAAAATTTGCTTTTTAAATACTCTTGAATTTAATATAATAAGTAGTAAAGGCAACGGAACACTCATTTGATTTATCAGATTTATTACAGTTATTCAAAAGTCAAATTTATATGAGCCTGTGCCTGAAAATAGAGATTTTCGAATTAAGGGAAGCCTTACATAAACATGCATTTTTTTCAACCCATTTTAAGATTTTGAAGTTTTTTAACCATACATTATTCTTCCATATATATTAAATGTACTTTAAATGTAAAGAAAAGTTACAAAAAGCATACCACATGAGTATAAAATGGTCTTAGGCCATGTAAGACCGAGAATTATTTAGAGTCGATTTAGGCCGTAGCCCATATTTACATAAAAAAATGCACACAGAGGCTATAAGAAATGGAAATTTGTTACTTTTTGCTCATTTCTATGCTAAGATGTCTTGATACAAGAAGTCTAATTGCAAAAGGACTCTTGAATTCAACTTTTTTTTGCAGACAGTATGGTCTGATGACCAGTTTTTCACTTTTCAATGGAAAACTTGCATGTAGTTTTAGTCTCATTTGGCATATATTTGAACCACTTACTATCCTAAAGAAGAAAATTATGGTAGCATATGAAATGAATAGGGTGTACTGATCATTGTAAAGTGTTTTTTTTACAGATTTAGTGAAATATTTGTGATGGACTACAGATTTTATGTACAAAGCTCTTCACATTTCACATACATCAAACAGGCCGTTTAACCAGGGACATAAATACAAATATTCTGCACATTTTTTCTGCGATAATCTACTTTTCTCTAGATTCTGAGTTCACAAATGGTTAATTAAATTTGATTTAAGCATAGAAACACAAATATCAGGAACATAAAAAGCTGTCAGATAGAAAGTCAGCATGGCTCTTAGGCATAAAATGGAAACTGCTTTAAAATGCTTATTTTAGCGGTATAATGCCAAAATGGGACATTTAAACAGAATTTCTGTCAAACAAAGATGTAAATGCTTTACTTTTATTGAGTTTGACAAATTGAAACCAGCAGACCATTCAGGAAAGTTGCCAAAGTACAGAATCTACATTTACGGAATTCATCTCTTAGGCCCGAGAACACAGTTATTTCGTAGTGCATTTCTTTTAGACAATAAATTCAAATTAAAAAAATCGCACCTGCTCTATCTTAAAAAGATTTTTACAGTGTAGTGTACTACTATTGATACGAATAATATCAAAATTATAGAAACTTCTACCAGCTCTAACTCAAAATATTGACAATTCTGTGTTAAGGGGGCTAAAATTCAGTTTGACAGCTTCAGACATTCTAATTTTTGACCTTTTTTAACTGGGCCAAATCACTACTTCACATAAAGATTCAGCACCCAAATTTTTTTAACATGTAATTTCATCCCCTTACTTAATATTTCATGCATAAAATATCAAGAAATAAATTGGGAAAGTGTATCAAAAAAAAATGCAAGTTATACACTGTTCACACTAGGGACTATATTCGTAGACAACGAAAACCAAAGGACGATAACTGTGTCCTTGGACCACATAACAGAAAAATAAATATCAAAATGGCATATTTTTACTAGGTGAGTGATTCAGGTTCTTGGGAGCAACTTTTTTTAGTTTTTTGGGGCATTCCTTATCAAGTCATGAACTTTGACATGACTTTATCTAGTGGTACCTACATGTATTTTGTATCAAAAACTCCTCCTAAAACTCTTTATTAGAATTTTTCAGAATATTGCACCATATACATGTAATGCAATTATGCACCTACAATATTGCTTTTATCTGAATTATTTTTTACGTTTCCCTAAGGAATCATGGAATTTGCAAGGGGTGGGGTTTAATTTTGACAGCTTTGAAAACCTTAGTTTTAGTGTCTCTCTTTGAGGAAGTCGAAAAAGCGAGACTTAGGCTTCAACAGTGTATTAGTTTGTGATTAAGTCAGATTAGGTCAGTTTATGGGGAAGCACTAGTGGTACATGTAGGTCAATGGTATTTGGTATGCCGTTGTATTAGCATTGGCACATCTCATTTCTATGGAGATTGTTTGGCCCCATCCTCTCAGTTATGGTTTATTGACCTTTGAAAATTTTGCTTAGTTTACAATTAACATGTATTAGTTTGTGGTTAGATCAGTTTAAGGGAAACCATTTATGGTAGCTCTATGATACTGGTATGAAGTTGTGTTACATGTAGCATTGGCACATCTTATATTTATGGACATTTTTTGGCCCTGCCCCTTCAGTCATGGTTTATTGACTTTTAAACTTTTGCTTAGTTTACATGTATTAGTTTGTGGTTAGGTCAGTTTCAGGGGAACTATTAGTGGTAGGTCAAGGATATTTGGTATGCAGATGTACCGGTATTAGCATTGGCAAATCTCATAGCCATTGAGATTATTTGGCTCTGTCCCTCAGTCATGGTCTATTGACTTTGAATGTTTTGCATAGTTTATTTGTTAAAGTTTGTGATAAGGTCAGTTTAAGATAAACCACTAGTGTTAATTCAATGATATTTGGTATGCAGTTGTATAAGCATTTGAAAGTCTCATTTCCATGGAGATTATATGACCCCACCCCATCATCATGGTTCAATGACTTTGAAACTTTTGCATAGTTTACAAGTTTAAGTTTGTGTTATTGTAAGTTTAAAAGGAACCACTTATGATAAGTAAATGGTATTTGGTATGCAGTTTTATAAGCATTGGCATTTCTCCATGGTGGTTTTGGCACTGCACCATCAGTCATGGTTCATTGACTTTGAATGTTTTGCATAGTTAACATGTTTAAATATTGGTACTTTAAAATATTTGCATTATACTATGAAATTTACATCAAGCCATACACATCTCTGTGTCAACAGTTTATTTTAAATTAACAGGTGTATTTATTTAGAACCTTTTACCATGTTTACAGCCTCATTTTTATCTTTCTATATAAAGTAATGTATAAATCAGTCCTTTTTTTCAGATGGATAGATCTTCAGCAAGTGAAAAAAATCTCAAATGGTGTGTAATTTAAACATCAGAGTACCGGGGTAGATAGACCATCACATTTACAACTTATAAGTCAGGTAAGGCTTAAAATCAAGTCTGGATCGATATGGGAGATTCTAATGAAGATACAGATGAACAACTTTCAGGCAATGAATTTGTACAAGTGAAAGAAGAACCTTTAGAAATGGAGGAAAATTGTGGAGATGAAATTGGTTTTATGAACATGATTGCTAGTACTGAAACTGATACTAACACCATTAATACCTCTGTAACTATCAATAAAGAGGCTCCTGTTACCGCTGATTCTACTGATGATAACACTGAAAAGACATTATTTTTATGTGACATATGTTTTAAGCCTTTCACCCACAAGCCAAATTTACGAAAACACATGCGTATACATGAAAAAATAAAACCATATAAATGTGACATATGTAGGATGGCCTTCACAATGAAACAGAACATGCAAACTCATCGTCTCACACATACGGGAGAACGTCCCCATCAATGTTCTGTATGTGGTAAAACATTTAATCGATCACATCATGTCACACGGCATATGGCTATTCATTTGATGTCTAAAAAACAGTTTAAATGTGAAATATGTTCTTTGGATTTTCATAGAAAAGACCATCTCCAAGTGCACATGAAAACACATGAACCACCAGTTTTTCGTGTAAAAATTTGTCCTTACTGTGGGAAATGTTACAAAGGTGGTGTAAGATTGAATAAACACATAAAGGACTTACACACTGAGACAAAGGAAATTCCAGAAATTACTAAGACAGTTATGACAGCAGAAAAAACTAATGAATGTGGGGTATGTGGAAAGCTGTTTGCTCAATTAAAGCACCTTGAAAGTCACATGTTAATACATTCCATATTACCAGAGATCCATGAATGTAATGTGTGTGGTAAAAGTTTTAGTACACTTCAACATCTCAAAGAGCATGACCATTGTAAAAAATCTCGCAAAAAATCACTAGAAGACAAGAGAAGAAATTGTATATTTTGTGGGAGAATTTTTATGGGAGACAAAAGATTAGAGAATCATATTAAAAAACTTCATCTGGAAGAATATAGAACTTATGGAATGGGAGAAGCAAATGAAAGTGAGAGTTTTCAATTAGAGAATTTAAAGGAAAAAAGAAATGAAGAAAGTTTTATGGATGAAACCAGAAAAGGTGAAACAAATGCCACTGTTGAGTTTGATACCCTGGATGTTACAATTAAAGTGGAACCAGAGGAAACTTAACTTAAAGACAACTGTGAATACCTATAGGTATCCACTCATAATTACCCTACCACACAATTACCACTCCAGGTGTTGGTTCACCAACTACGTAGGAAACTTAGTTAATGAAATAAGACTTACTTAAAATTAGGTCAAGAAAAATCTCTATAGTGACATTAGTGACAATATTAAGGTTGAAAGGCATGCAAGAAAATTAATTTATTGGAAAAATCTGCAGTTTGAAGGTACTGTTATTTGATCTAAGAAAATAAACAATAACACTATACTCAAGATAGGTAGCTATAATCAATTATATAATGGAATTTCATGCGACTGTCATACAAGTGAGAGGTTTAGATAGCTATAAAACCAGGTTTAATCCACCATTTTCTACATAAAGAAATCCCTGTACCAAGTCAGGAATATGACAGTTGTTTTCCATATGTTTGAGCTTTTGATTTTGCCATTTGATAAGGGACTTTCGGTTTTGAATTTTCCTTGTTCTGTATTTTTGTTATTTTACTTTTTTTTCATAGTTTTTGGTCAAGTAAAAAAACCATTTTTGGACCCCTATTCAGTCTATATAAAATTGTTTTGAAAATTGAATTATATTGCACAATTACTACGGTATAGCTATATTTGTAATTACCCATGGTAACCATTGCCCATACACTAGCAATTGAAAGGGGTTGTATTCTGATAACAAAAGAAAACTGTGTATTTGCCTGTCTTGCAACATTGAATAGATTGAGGATGAAACCCATTTCTTCTTAGTCTGTCCATACTATGCGGCTATGCCTTATTGATTGATTGATTTGTGTCTAACACCACTTTCACTGCTATTGTGTTATTTAGTGGCGGTCAGTTTTTATTGGTGGAGGAAGCCGGAGAGAACCACAGACCTTTGGAAGGAAAACTGACAATCCTAGTCAATTAAGATTGGAATCGAACGCACCTGCCATGTGCCAGATTCGAACTCACAACCTCAGTGTTGACACGCTAGTGATACAATAGTTTGACTATTTAGACCACTCTGCCACCAATACCCCCAATGCCGTATTGTGAGATACCTTAAAATTAAAATAAACACTAACATCAATTTCATAATTTGCATTTAGCATATTTATTAATTATCACTGTGGCATATGTCCACACTATTGAGCAACAGTTCACCTGTCATTATAAAAATCTGGGCAAAATATATAAATGATTGTCTCATATTACTAGTAAGAAAATCTGTCTAAATATGAAATATGTGAATAATTATGCAAGAATACACAAATATTTGTAGTCATTTTTTTCATTTGAAAGCTACTGTCACTCATATAATTACTGGCATACAATTGTTAATTGTTTTTATGTTGTTGTTTCATGGTATAACTATTTGATGTAAATGTGTGTGAGCAAATAAATATTGTCTAACTGTCTATTGTCTATAAAACTCTGTACAGATGATTTGTTTTGTCTTATTAACTTTGAGTACCATTTATCCAGTGTGGTGCATATATAGTATCATAAATAAAGTAAGGTGTAAGAATATTAGATTTTCATGCACCTTTTTCATTTATATTAAATCAGCCTCATCATGCTCATAGACAATATTTCAATGTACCAAAAATAGTAAGAGAATTATAAATTGTATTGTGCCTTAAAGTAAGGAGTGTAAAGATATTAAAAGATAAATTCACATAACTGACAACAGTTGTCATAAAATTAACCAAAAGCAAGGAAATCACAAATTCACCAACATTTCACAATCTGTAACAAACATAAACTTTTAGCTACCTCTTTACAAGCAGAACCAAGTACAATGAAAGTTCCAACTATGTACTGGCTTCCAAAGCTGCACAAAACACCTTATAAATATAAATTTATTTCATCTTCAAGCCATTGTTCCACTACTAAACTGTCTATTCTACTTACTAGTACACTTGGTACAATAAAAAACCTGGTAATAAATTGTTCAAATAAGGCCTTTGAAAATAGTGAAATTAATTACTTTTGGAGTGTCAAAAATTCGATCGTTGGAAGTACTTGATAAATTGCATGCTTATATTGGTGATTTCGAATCTGTTCAAAGTTTGGATTTTTCTACTCTATATACCACTTTGCCTCATAATCTTATTAAGAAAAAATTCACACATCTAATTAAATGGGCATTTAAAAAGTCAGAATGCGAATATATATGTTCAAAGTCTTTTAGGTCATTTTTGACGAGCCTGCGACTTTTGTCGCAGAAAGCTCGACATAGGGATAGTGATCCGGCAGCGGCATTAGCTAATGTCTTAAAAGCTTAATATTTCAGAAGGTAGAATACCAGGATCCTTCATACTTTGTATATAGATCCTTATGTTATGAAGTTTCCGTCTGTCATATGTCCATCGACCTTGACCTCATTTTCATGGTTAAATGACTACTTGAAAAAAAAGTTAAAATTTTTAGTATTCTTAATTTCTTTCTTATTATGAGTAATAGGATAACTATATTTAGTATGTGCGTACCTTCCAAGGTCCTCATACCCGTCAGAAAGTTTTCACTTGACCTCGACCTTATTTCATGGATCAGTGAACAAGGTTAAGTTTTGGTGGTCAAGTCCATATCTCAGATACTATAAGCAATAGGTCTACTATATTTGGTGTATGGAATGATTGTAAGGTGTACATGTCCAATTGGCAGGTGTCATCTGACCTTGACCTCATTTTCATGGTTCAGTGGTTATAGTTAAGTTTTTGTGTTTTGGTCTATTTTTCTTGTACTGTATGCAATAGGTCTACTATGTTTGGTGTATGGTATGGAATGAGTGTAAGGTGTACATGTCGAACTTACAGGTGTCAACTGACCTTGACCTCATTTTCATGGTTCATTGGTTTAAGTTTTTGTGTTTTGGTCTGTTTTTGTTATACTGTATAAAATAAATCAACTATATTTGGTGTATGAAAATATTTTACGATGTACATGTCAGTCTGGCATGTTTTAACCTTGACCTCATTTTTACGGTTCATTGCTCAAGGTTAAGTTTTTGTTTTTGGTCTATTTTTCTAATACTTTCGGCAATAGGTCAACTATATTTGGATTATGGAATGATTGTAAGGTGTACATGTCCAACTGGCAGGTGTCATCTGACCTTGACCTCATTTTCATGGTTCAGTGGTCAAAGTTAAGTTTTTTAGTTTTGGTCCTTTTTTCTTATACTATATGCAATAGGTGAACTATATTTAGTGTATGGAAATATTTTAGGATGTACATGTCTGTCTCGCAGGTTTTATCTGACCTTGACCTGATTTTCACGGTTCATTGCTCAGTTTTAAAATTTGGTGTTTTGGTCTATTTTTGTTCAACTATAAGCAATAGGTCAACTATATTTGGTGTATGGAATGTTTATAAGGTGTTTATGTTTGTCCGCCAGGTATCATATGACCTTAACCCCTTTTACAAGGCTCATTGGTCAATGTTAAGTTTTAATGCTGAACTTTGTTTCTTAGAAAATATAAGCAATAGGTCACCTATATTTGGTGTATGGAATGATTGTAAGGCGTATCTGTCTGTCTGGCAGGGTTCATATGACCTTGACCTTATTTTCATGGTTCATAGGTCAATGTTAGTTTTTTTCATTCTTCACTGCCATCTTTAATCACAATAATCAATATCAATGGTATATCACTAAGTTATTTCACTCTTAACCACAGTTATCCAGCATATCTTCATATAGCGGATAATAACCTATACAATTAGTAGTATGAAGACACTATGATAGTTGTCTTCAGCAGGCCTGGCAGCAGCTTTAGCGTTCATACAGGCATCAGTAGCAGCGACATTATCTCATTTACAGCTTAAAATTTATAATGTATGTCGGATAGCATTTACTTTCAACATAACTTCAATTAGAAATACACAACAGGCGAGACATTTCTGTGTGTCCACTCTTGTTTTAGTAACAACAAACAAAAGAGCTATGTCAATTGGACCTGCTTTGATACTATAACTGCCCTTGATTTTTTATTAGATAACATTTTTGTTCGCTATCGAGATTCCGTATATCGTCAAGTTATCGGAATTCCAATGGGGACTTACTGTGCACCACTTCTTGCAGACCTGTTTCTGTATTGTTATGAGTTACAATTTATGAATAAAATCAGCAAAGACCCATCCAAACAACATCTGATACAAAAATTTAATAACACTTTTAGATATTTGGATGATATATTGGCTCTCAATAATGACGACTTCAGTATGTACACTGAAGAGATTTATCCTGCTGAACTGACATTAAATAAAGCTAATACTAACAATAAACTCTGCCCTTTCCTGGATCTTGATATCCATATCTTTGACGGGAAGCTTATTACCAAAATTTATGATAAAAGAGATGATTTTTCATTTCCTATTGTTAATTATCCATTTTTAGATGGTGACGTTCCCATGTCACCATCTTATAGTGTTTATATATCTCAACTTGTTCGATTCGCTCGTGTATGTAACAACGTATTTGATTTTAACGAAAGAAATCTCTGTATTACTGAAAAATTATTACACCAGGGTTTTCGATATCACAAACTAGTCAAAACATTTACTAAATTTTACCATCGGTACAAGGACATCATTCGTAAATACAGAGACATATAATACAATTGTATTATATGTCTCTGGTAAATATAAATCAACATGCAGACATCTTATACGTTCAGGCAAGGATTTGTATATACAAATCCTTGGTTCAGGTATTTCACATCCAATCTGTTATGGTAATATTCTTTACAAAGCACAACAATGTTGGCATTCACCTCAAAAGCTAACCAAACCTTTAAACAGACTTATTCGGAAAGGATATAGTTACGATACTGTTGTCAGGTCATTAAAGATGGCATATTTTGGTATTAATATTGATTCACTCATAGGGTTTTTGCATCGGAAATAAACACATTTATTCTAAAACCAGTTGTTGGCATGATACGGGTTATGTTCTTTTCATATATTTTATGATGGTATGATACTAAACCCCTAACGGGAGGGATTGTGCTTGATTTTCATATGATGAAGACATAATCTTTCAATCAGTTTAATTGAGGTCTGGAGCTGGCATGTCAGTAACTGCTAGTAGTCCTTTGTTAATTTATGTATCATTGTCATTTTGCTTAGTTTCTTTTGTTACCTATTCTGACATCGGACTCGGACTTCTTTTAAACTGAGTTTTACTGTACGTATTGCTGTGTGTTTGTTTAATCTACATTGTCTAGAGGAATAAGGGGAGGGTTGAGATCTCACAAAACATGTTTAACCCCGCCAAATTTTTGCGCCTATCCCAAGTCAGGAGCCTCTGGCCTTTGTTAGTCTTGTATGTTTTTTAATTTTAGTTCATGTATATGTTTAGGAGTTTAGTATGACGTCCATTTTCACGGAACTAGTACACATTTTTGTTAAGGGGCCAGCTGAAGCCCGCCTCCGGGTGCGGGATTTTCTCGCTGTGTTGAAGACCCATTGGTGGACTTCGGCTGTGTTTTTTTAATCTTTGGTCGGGTTGTTGTCTCTTTGACACATTCCCCATTTCCGTTCTCTATTTTATTCATTTTGCCATTGAAGGGACATAACCCTAAGAAATTTTGAGAATAATTAGTTTTTGTAATATTCCGTTTGTGGTCCGTTTTCATCAAAAAAATAAATCAATGTTAATATCTTTTTGTGTGTAACTAGCTAATGACAGATATCTGTATATTATTTGATAGATATTATCAAGTTCTTTAAGATACTGTCATCATATTGTATGATGCAATTAACTGCTCTTGAAAATGATAATGTCTTTGAAATATTTTAATTTAATATTCTGATGGTAGTGTTCTTTAGATACTTCGTGCATTCTTAACCTACAAATTGCAAGGAAAATTATTGATAGTTCAAAGAGGGGTACTGTCAGTCCACATGGGACAAACTCTGTTACGGAAATAAATGAAAACAAAGATTGAAATTTCAGAAAAATTTTCAAGTCAAATGTAACCCGAATTTTTAGTCATTTTAAAAGCGTGGCTTTAACTGAAACAAATTAACTGATAATTCTTAAATCATTGCAATGTTTTTTTTATTATTGTGAAAATCATGACAGGATAATGACTGATATAACAACTTTTGATAGCTTTATTAGGATCTTGTTGGCTAATAAGTGGAGGTGCCCTATATATAGTAATCAATCTGTTTGTCAGCAAACAATAGGTCAAGATTGCCTCAACCAATTTCAGTAACTTTTATGCATAGTGTAAATACCTATAGACATGATAAAGATAAATAAAAGGTTCCTTTTTGTTTTTGTGAAATTTTGATAAAATTTGTGGTATAAAAATTAGTTTTTGTTAAAAAAAATCACACATTTTGAAAAACATCTTTTGTGCTAGAATTTCAAAACAAATTGATATAAGCTGGAAAATCGATTGATTGGAAT